CTTTTGACTGGCACTCATGACTGAACCTAAAATTAGTAGGAAATGGAAGTGGAGGAGAAACCTATGACATTAGTCAATCCATGTACCAGTCCATCAAATTCAAGACAGCAATATACAAACTGAAGACTTCAAGAAAGAAAGATGAGTAAAACAGGGTTTAATTTCAGCCTAGCCCTCTTCAATTTATAAATCAGTGACATACCAACTCTACTGGAACAATCCCCAAGTCAAGAATGCCCATTAAAAGACTCAAAAATTAAATGCCTGCTGTGTCATGATGTCTAAGCATACTATCACCTACTTATGAGGATTGTCAAGAATCTTACACTTTCTAGAAATTTACCACAATACATGAGCCATGCAGGTCAAACAAGCAAACAAACCCTCACAATCATAGTTTTTCAGGGGGACAAAAATGAAAACAAGCAAAACAGTAAAATTCAGAGACTTGAAGACAGACCCTAAATAATGCATACACAAGAACAGCAATACTGGGTCAGTCCAATGGTCCATCTAGCCCAGGATTCTAATGAGATTAGGGCAGTGGTTCTCAACCTATTTACCATTGTGGGCCACAATGTGTTATGGGGGCCACATTCAATACTACCTGTATGGCCCTGAGGCTGTCACATGGGGCAGCTCTGTGCTGATTGGGCTGCAAGCGGCCTGCGGGCCACACGCTGAGAACTGCTGGGTGAGGGGAAGTTTATAAAAAGAAGGCCTGGACCAATAAAAGGTAGGGTGACCAGATAGAAAGCGTAAAAAATCAGGATGGGGTGGGGGGTAATAGGTGCCTATATAAGAAAAAATCCCAAATATCGGGACTGTCCCTATAAAATCGGGACATCTGGTCACCCTAGGGGTGACTGGGGATGGTTTTAAATAAGACAAAAGGAAAGTGTCTTAAAAGGAGCAAACATAAACCTTCCCACCCCACCAGTGTTATCTTTAAAGTGAAGCGGATGTGAACCCAGGTGGAATGGAAAACAGGAGAGAGGAGAGGAGAGGAAAGGCCTTGTTGAGAAAGGAGGTTGTGAAGCTGGTCTGGATTGAGACTGCAACTAAGGGTCTTCTTAGCTGGGGTCAGTCCCTGGCAAGGACATCCCTTGTTTACTGCCGGGTATAAAGGGAAGTGAATTGGAGCGGACACGCCAGGAGATGGTTTCCCCAGGTCTGGCCTGTTTGTCCCTGTACTGAGCCCCAGCTTCTGCCAGCTCCGGTACCGTGCGCGGCGTGCGCATGCTCAGCGGCAGGCAGCGTTAGTGCAACGGTACCAACCCCGTGTGCCCCTTGCTCGCCCCCGTTAACAAGGGCTAGTGCGGGGCCAGGCCGCGGCGGGGCTCGGCTCGGCGGGCCGCCCGCCCCGCGGGCACAGGGGGCTCACACCCTCCCGGCGCAGCCCGGCTCCCGCGCCCCCCTGCGGGGAGGGGTCGAGCCCTTACCCGGCTGGTCCCAGCCCCGCGCAAGCCCCGGCCCGCTCAGGCACAGCAGCAGGGACACGAGCAGGACCCGCCCGCCGGCCGCCATGACGATTCCAGGGCACATCCGGCTGCGACAGCTCCCGTTACTGCGCACGCGCCTGCAAGCCGCACCCTCTGATTGGCTGGTGATTGTTGAGCAGTCCTCTCTCGCGGAACATGGGCGGAGCCCCGCCGACCCTCGCTCCGCCCCCCGTCCTGATCCCTCCTCCCTGCCCTGCAGAGCCAATGGGAGGCGAGGAGTCTCTGAGCCAACAAGAGGGGCGTCTGGGCAACGTCTAAGGCTCGGTCTACACTACAGCGGGGGTCGACCTAAGATACGCAACTTCAGCTACGTGAATACCGTAGCTGAAGTTGCGTATTTTAGGTCGACTTACCTGGCTGTGAGGACGGCGGCGAGTCGACCGCTGCCGCGCCGCCGTCGACTCCGCTTCCGCCTCTTGCCGCGGTGGATTTCCGGAGTCGACGGCAGAGCGATCAGGGATCGATTTTATCGCGTCTTCACTAGACGCGATAAGTCGATCCCCAATAGATCGATTGCTACCTGCCGATCCGGCGGGTAGTGAAGACGTGCCCTAAGGCTAGGATTTAGTCAGGGGTGTTTTTAGTAAAAGTCATGGACAGGTCACAGCAATAAACAAAAAGTCATGGCCCCCGACCTGTCCATGACTAAAACGTAGGTGCTTACAGGGGGCAGGACTCCAGCAGAACCTGCTGCTGCTCTGGGGGGATGGTCCGGGGCCTGCAGATGTTGCTGGGGGGGGGTGAGGTGGCCTGGGGCCCTGGCGCTGCTGCTCCGGGCAGGGTGGGGCGGCCCAGGGCACCATCACTGCTGCTCCTGGACCACACAAGTAGAGGCTGGTGCAGCTGGCCCCGGCGCCCTGGGGTCAGCCGCACCAGCCGTTGCAGAAGTCCCAGAATCCATGACTTCTGTGATAGACTCGCAGCCTTAGCAATGTCTAATAGGTGCACATGTGATTTCTGTTTCCCATATTCCCAATGTGAATGCCTCCCAGGCTGGGCCTCTGCCCTGCCACAGCGCTGGAGCTGCGGGCCAGCGCAGGCAGAGTTAAGGGTGTCTGGAAGTGATTTTGTGTCCTCAGCTTGTTTCGTTAGCAAAGAGCGATGTTGGGTGCAGGTGGGGCTGAAGGAGTGGAAGATTATTACACCCTATGCAGGGCGCCTTGCCTGGGGCTGAGCCACTCCCCAAAGCTCCTGGGGCCCTCTCAGAGCTGGGGGCCCCTCCACTGCACACGGGCCTCTGACTCCAGCCCCACTGATCACAATACATGCTCCCTCCTGGGCACATCCCATCCCATCTCCTAGAACTGGAAGGGACCTTGAAAGGTCATCAAGTCCAGCCCCCTGCCTTCACTAGCAGGACCAAGTACTGATTTTGCCTCCGATCCCTAAGTGGCCCCCTCAAGGATTGAACTCACAACCCTGGGTTTAGCAGGCCAATGCTCAAACCACTGAGCTATCCCTCCCCCCTACATGTTTTAATGTATATGCTGCAGTGCCCAGAGCCCAGCCTGCGTCCCTTCGGCCAGCCCTACTAGCGGGAGTCTTGGCTTAGTCACAGACTCAGCTGGTTAAAACCTGGGTTACTTATAACAGCAGGAAGACAAGGGATAACAGCTCTAGGCCAAGCCTGCCATGCAGCCTGGGTTGAACGTGAGCTGCTAACCCAAGTTAAATGCTGAATAGTTGTATCTTCTCTGCCATTTTAATTCAATTTTGCTATCCTGAGTTAAGAACACACTTTGTTTGCAGCCTAGACATACCTAAATGGTGATGCTCTTGTTCAATCAAAAGTTATTGGGCTTGCTACAGGACACACTGGTTGAAATTTTGTGGCTTGTATTATGCACTAGATCAGAGGTCAGTTTAGATAAACATAGTGGTCCTGTCTGGCCTTAACAACTGAATCTATAGACCCAATTTATGCACTATAGCTCTCATTTGTGCTGCGTCTGAAGAAGTGAGGTTTTTACCCATGAAAGCTTATGCCCAAATAAATCTGTTAGTCTTTAAGGTGCCACCAGACTCCTTGTTGTTTTTATAGATACAGACTAACACGGCTACCCCCTGATATTTGTGTTAATAAACTTTTTTAATATTGTAAACTTTCTGTGGGTCATATAGTGCCTAATGTATTAAGCCAGAGGTTCTCCACCTTTTTCTTTCTGAGCCCTGCCTGCCGCCCCCTCCCCCCCAACATGCTATAAAAACTCCCTGGCCCACTTGTGCCACTATAACAGTTTTTCTGCATAGAAAAGCCCAGGCTGGCATTAGGGGGTAGCAAGCAACCAAGCAGGGCAATTGACTTGGGCCCCACACCACAGGGTACCCTGTAAAGCGAAGTTGCTCGGGCTTTGGCTTCATCCCCCCACGGCGGGGCTTAGGCTCAGGTTTGGGCTTTCTGCCCTGGGCCCCATAGAGTCCAATGCCTGCCCTGCTTGGCAGACCCCCTGAAATCTGCTTGCAGCCCTCCATGGGGCTCTTGACCCCCAGTTGAGAACTACTGCATTAAACTTAAATGTAGACCACACCGAATCATCCTCTTGAAGGACTGAGCCTTAAATTTTTTTGGCAAAACGTAGTAAATTGGTTTTGCTTATTGAGAACTTAAGCTAGATACAGATGTGCAAAAAGCATGTGGGTCATGGAGGGCCTTTTTCACTTTGTACTATTTGCTCCCTCCAAGTTCCTTTGCTCTGCATTCAGTGTGTAATTACCTATTTTATGTGTGGCTCCTTTGAAAGGGATGGGAAACTATGTTATACATCCAACAACATCTGAAATTGTTCAGGTGGGAGGGAGGAGCAGGCAGAATTGCCAACCTCAAGCATTCAAAAATCATGACTCAGACCCAAATTAAATTTGCCTGAAAAATAACAAAATAACAACAGTGGGGATGTTTTGATTTGTCTTCAGCATCCTGGTCTGACTGGCTCACAGTACTTGTGGCACCTTAGAGACTAACAAATTTATTAGAGCATAAGCTTTCGTGGGCTACAACCCACTTCTTCGGATGCAAAGCTTATGCTCTAATAAATTTGTTAGTCTCTAAGGTGCCACAAGTACTCCTGTTCTTTTTGCGGATACAGACTAACACGGCTGCTACTCTGAAACCTGGCTCACAGTGTCAGCCAACCACAAGGGCTAGAAACGAATTTGTTTTACAGAGGAGCGTCTCCCATAATGAAAGCACGGGGGGGGGGTTGCAATATTTCTGAGGTAAGAGCTAAGGCATTAATGGCATCTGCGCCCAGCAGGGAGCGATCCAGGGCCGGGCTGAAGGGGGTATGACTTGAGCGCTTCATCTCGCTGGTCTGGGGAGGCTGAGTAATATGCTGTCTCTGGCCCTTTAAGGATTCCCCGCGGCAGTACTGGCCCTTTAAGCAGCCGCCTCCTTCCCCGAAACACCCACTAGCGCAGGGCGTCACAGCGCCCGAGTCACATGACGGAGGGGCGCGCTCCTGCCTTGGCGGCTGCGCAGTTCTCACCGGAAGAGTGGCCTCGTCTCGCCGCACACGCACTTCCGGGGGTTGGGTCGGGCCTGCTCCGTGTCGGCGGCCGGTGAGGGGAACGGTGGCGGCACTATGGCCGGGATCAAAGGTGCTGGGGGCAGGAGCGGTTGTCGGCGCTGGGAGGGGCCGGGGAGCGGAGGCGGATGGGCGCCGCTGAGACCCAATGTCCCAGCTCCACCCCGTGCCCCGAGCTGGGGGAGCCGCCGGGGCAGAGCCTTCACGCCCTGGGGCGGGGCCCGTCTCCCTGGCAGGGAGCAGCGGCTGGGCCGGGGGGTGCCTGGCCGCCCCCAGGGCGCTGAGCAGCCGCGAGAGACGGAGCGCGGCGCTCGCTCGCTCGCTCGGGGTGAGCGCGCTGTGGGGGAAGACCAGGTCCGGAGGTCTGAGTGGTCTTATCCTCCGTGTGGCTGACCCAGGGCAGCCCAGCACCCCCCGCCGGGATGTAGCTGGTGGAGGCAGACACTACCCGTACCTTGTCCCCACTTGGGTTTGACAACAAGGGAGCTGCTTCCACGTGAAAACAGCCGTAGGCCTGTAGCACTTGATTGTTTACCCTTGGCTCACGTTCGTGAGGGCGCCTTTGCAGACAGAAATCAGGAGGTCAAATCTTAAACACCTACAAAGAGTAAATTCTGCAATAAATAATAATTTTGCTTTCCCTCGCTCCTCCAGTGAAAGTCATCTTCTGGCTAAAAATGTCACACTAATAATGCAAATGGGCTGAACTTTGAAATGAGCCACAAATCCTGTTTATTGAATGGAATATCCCATAATCAAACTTGCAAAAAATACAACTGGACCTATTTCTAAAGGACTTATATTCGCTTAGCACAATAAGATTTTAGCAAAGAAGCCCAGCCTCCTTTGGATAAACTCACTGCCTTATGCTTATTCATTGTTTGGTATCATAGGTCAGATACGGATAATTGTTCACAAGGCTATGTTCTGAAACCTTTTCTCTTAGGTGATATTTTTTTTAAATGTTATTCTAAAGTTATATTTGACTAAATGAGTGTCAAGTCACATGCAACATATACCTCATATAATTTTATTTCACACACTCAGATGTCCAAGTTTATATAAAAAAATAAAGTATGGTAATTGCATCCACTAGAAATCAGGTTTTTTTTAAATCAGAAAATAGAAGTCAGAAAACCAAAGGAATAGTCCCATTGACTGATGTGAAAGCGTAACTGTTTTCAATCCTCATTTATCATCCTGTCAAATGATGTCCTCTTAAAACTGCTAGGTTATTTACCAATGAAAATGTTAACTTGATATACAGCCAAATTAAATTTTACAGCTACTATGCTTTTCAGAATTAAATCTTTTAAAGTGCTACCATTTGTGTATTAAGTAGGATTCATTCAAATCTACTGAAACTCAAATTCCCAGATTTTTTCCACTGATTCCAAGCCATCAGAGCGTTTTATTTCTCATTTGTTTCATATTTAATTTAAGGAGATGTTTATTGGTATTACAGTAAAAGGTTCTGTACACTTGTATTCAGTACTACACAAAAATGTAACTTTGGTTACATGAACATTTATATTAAGCTTTAAAACAAAGTCTATGTTAGATGAAATTTTGAATGTAATTTAAAGTGAGGCTCTTGCCTCTTTGTTTGCTACATGTTTTCACCTGTTAATACTTAAAGAACAAAGATGATGCAAGTGGGACTATCATATCCACCTTGGGACTTTCTGAAGCACAAGAAAGGTTATAAGTCCCTTAATGTAACCTCATGGGGTTACTTCATTTATTAATCCTATTGTGAGGAAAACGTGATTTAACTTTGGTGGTATGATTAAGCTAGAAATGAGAATGAATAGAGGTTTCTCATGAAGCTGTGTAGTATATACACACCAATTTCCCAGTATAGATTCAGACAATAAAATAGAAGTGAACAGAGTTTTTGGAACTGTAAAAAGTGTTTTCCTTTCATATTTTTCAAAATCGATTATTCAGTTTGTGTTTGATGGCCCATTCCAGACAATGGAGCTAACAAAAACTCTGACCTCAGAGGACTCTGAATCAGGCCCTACGTTAATTTGACAGCATTTTGCCCATCAGACATTGTACTGTTTACCCCGTACACAGTTTCAGTCAGTTTCCTCTATTTGTGTGGGTTATTTTAAAAGAAAATACAATTATACAGCAAAAATCAGTGAGAGATCTCAGAAGCAGAGCTAGTACCTGAGGCTACTTCTAGCGCATTTAAAATGTTAAAGGAATTACTAATATAGGAATATTTTAGATTTCGTTTTAAACCTGTTCCCCATTAAGATATGGTGCTTTTGGTTCCGTGTGTTCGTTTTTATCCAAAAACATTTGGAGGCAAATGACAGATTTTCAAGAAGCTGAAGTCTTACCAATTCTTAACCAGCCTGCTGGCTTTATTGTAACTCTTTCTTTAAATAACATCCTGAGATCAGAGTTATTTAACTTCACAGAAACATAAGGTATTCCCAAGAGATTTCAGAAAGCTTTTGTTCCTTTGTATGGATCAGTCCATTTAAAGTTAGGATTTGATTTATGAAAAATGTTATTGAAGATTCTGAAGTTGTATAGATACGATACAAATGAAGATTAGAGTAAATCTAGGATTTGATGAGTCAGCTTGCCAATAGCCAGAAGATGTTCCATTCTATGCATCTTATGAAGTGGGCTGTAGCCCACGAAAGCCTATGCTCAAATAAATTTGTTAGTCTCTAAGGTGCCACAAGTACTCCTGTTCTTTTTGCGGATACAGACTAACACGGCTGCTACTCTGAAACCTGTTGGATATTCTAGGATACTCTGTGTAAGCTCGAAAGCTTGTCTCTCTCCCCAACAGAAGTTGGTCCAATAAAAGATATTACCTCCTCCACCTTAACTTTGAAAGTCTGTTAGTGCAGCAGGAGGAGTCTGTTACTGCAATGACACCCTTGACTTGTGTCGATATTGTTCAGCTTTGCCAGTAGCCAAAAATATAGTTAATGCTTTCAGATTGTGTACTAGTGTTCCATGTGGTCCAACAATCTGACCATCCTGTTCTTGATTTGTGTTTTCCTTACAGCTTTGATTAGTCTGTCCTTTGGGGGAGCAATTGGACTAATGTTCCTAATGCTTGGATGTGCTCTTCCACAGTACAATAGGTAATGTACACAGTTTTAATACACTTTGACCTCATGGCCCTTTCACTACTGAATAGCCTGTCCTCCAGAGCCAGTGTAGTGAAAATCCTTTTGCCGCACACTGGCCTGTTCCTATGGGCAATTTTTTGATTATGGATTGAAAATGTTGGGGAAAACACAAAAAAGGTCACCTGTGAACTAGTTTGCAGTTATCTGGTCAGAAAAGGGAAATCAACTAATATTTATAGGATAGTCTTAAATACAAACCATTAAGGAAAGCATCAGAAAAATGTTTCTCAAATACTCCTTTTATCCTATAACCTCTGTGTACTTGCGATTGAAAAGGGTTTTAGCATGTATTGAAATGGGTAGTGAAGTGTATTGCCAGTGTGATTGCCACTTTGTCCAACAAACTCTATTGGATAGTTGACAGATTCACTGATACATGCAGTGTTGTAGCTGAGTTAGTCCCAGAATATTCAAGAGATAAGGAGGGCAAAGTAGTATCTTTTATTGGACCAACTTCTTGGTCTCTCTCACCAACAGAAGTTGGTCCAATAAAAGATATTACCTCTCCTATCTCTCTAGATTCACTGATAGACAAGCTTGTAGACCATCAAGCCAAAGGGCAGGCCCTTCTAGTTTCTTTCGTATACCAGGTCTGTTTGATAAATTGTCCTGCCCTTCCAACTGATGGTAAAATGAAAAAATTATACTAAACACCTCTTGCTAGGTAGGATGACATCCTGCGCTGCTGTTGTGGGATAAGTTGTCCTCGTGGGTCTGTATTTTGGCCTGTAGCATCCTTTTCCCTGCTTTCTCTGTGTTGAATGTCAGGTGTAGTGCTAAATATACTTTGTGTGACCCCTTCTTATTGAGTGAACTCTAAACTTAAAATATCTGCCAAAATATTAATTTTCCAAGTTCTTAAAAATATTATGGAGGCATTCATTCCATTGCCATGCTTTTTTTATAAATGTCTGTGGAGAACAATTGTCTCCTTCCACAGATAATTTTTTTATGGGCAGCTTTTAAATCCTGTAAAGCTTGGCTTGGTTGCTAAAATATTCAGAGTGGAGTTGATCGTATCTGGTTCTCTTAAATGATGCAATGAGGCTCCCAGAAAAACATGGACAAGAACTCCCTCTCAACCTGTTTTCCTCCACTGTTATTGAGGTCAGCTGAAACAGCCCCGGGCTTGAACATCCGGGGCTATTGCCAGAACATTTTCATTGGTGGCCCCACCTTAGTTATGGCATTCACTTCCCACATAAATGAACTGGAGCCAATATGTCTGTCAGTTCATGTTGGAATGCCCCATTTTTAAAGTTTTGCCTGAAGAGGAAAGGGATTAAAAAGTGGGGCAAGAAACTGTAGTTCTTAATATGCTTTATACAACAATCACTGTGGTAGGGGCTTCTTTTGGGATAAAAGTATACTCATAAGGGTGTATATCAGGAAAAGCGACAAAGTATTTACTGTGAAGAAATGGGAATATTAACTCTTCTTTTTTTCTTTTCCCCAGCCAATATTGGCCACTGTTTGTTCTGTTTTTTTACATCCTTTCTCCTATTCCATACTGCATAGCAAGAAGATTAGTAGATGAAACAGATGCTACAAGTAATGCTTGCAAGGAACTAGCAATATTTCTTACAACAGGCATTGTTGTCTCAGCATTTGGACTACCTATAGTATTTGCCAGAGCACAACTGGTTAGTAATATTTCCATATGGGAACATGTTCTTTGCTAAATGATTCCATGTTGTGTAATACTTTCTCTGAGCTTAAAGTTTTGCTGATACATTTTGATATAACTTTTAAGCTAAGATGTTTAAAGTGTACCTGAGTAGATGAAAATGTATACAACACTGCAAACATTCAAGAAGGAAAACAACAGCAATATAAAATCTTACCCACAGAAACAAAGCTAGAAATGTTCCAAATAATGTGGAGACCATTTATGTAATAGTTAGAAAGGACAGTTCCTTGGTGGTCAGCTATTTCTCTTTCTCTTTCTTCTTTTTGTTAGGCTCAATAAACAAAAATATAGGATGTCAGAGAATTATGAAAAAATGAGTGGCCCTCGTTCTAATCAATGTATAATTCTCTTCAATCCCTCAAAACACTCTGTACTGCTTTGTATTCTTTCACTTACACCTTTTAAAAGAATATCTAGTGTGCTTTAATTCCATTGAGAAAATCAGAAAATAAAGATTTTTTTTTTTTTTTAAAGTTCTTTCCTAGTGGGAAACTTCCCACTAGAGTGTGGCTTTCAAAAGTGCCTGAGGGAGTCAGGTACCCAACTTCTATTGACTTTTAATGGATTCTGAGCACCTAATTCCTTTTAGATGGTTTTTGAAAATCCCACTAAGTTACCAAGATAACTTTTTTTCTAGAGGGCTGCATCTGTAATTCTACGTTTAGGCAAGTCTAGCACTGGGGCTAGCAACCAAAGAAGCACCAGGGTAGATTGAGAGCAGACGTGTTTATTATTGTGTTATCTAACCCTGCTTGGAGCAGGTCTAGATGATATGGTGGTAAAAAAACAGCTGTACCTGAACTCTACCAATGGGGGAAAGCTGCTCGGGTGCCGGACCAACTGTGAGAGAATTGTTAAAATGTGTCAACGTGTACCTGGGCTTTGTGGTTTAATTTCAAATCATAACATACAAACTTGTCCTTGCATCAGTGAATTGTTATACTTCAGACCACATTCAGTAACTTTGCACGCTGTTCTTTTTGTCTCATTTAGTTGCTTCTGCTGTCTAGTTCTCTGCATATGTAACTAAATTTCCCTTGTCCACAGATTTTGTGGGGAGCATGTGCACTCGTCCTCACAGGGAATACTGTCATCTTTGCTACTATCCTAGGATTTTTCTTGGTCTTCGGCAGCAATGACGACTTCAGCTGGCAGCAGTGGTGAAAGGAGTTTAGTACAGAATTATCATAGACATCTTATCATTCAGTGGCCATCCATACAAACGAGAGAATGGGCAATAAGGAGAAATAGCATAGCAAGCCTTTGATGTATTTTAGATGCTCCTTTTCACCTTGTTCATTGTAAGTGTACTATCTTCACTGACTTGCTGATGGATTTCAAGGTTTCTATTGTTTGGAAAGACACTTTGTTTTCACTTCCTTTTATCTAAATATGTTTAGTATCTCACGTCATTAAAAATTGTAATTGTTGGTTCCATTCTGTTTTTGTATTTATGCTACATATAAATGCTGGAACAAGAATTTTTAAATAGTTTCCTTGAAAGAGTTTTTTAAAGTTTCTTTTAAGAGCAACAGCTATATTGAGTTAGATACATTTTATCTTTTTTTTTCTTTTGACCATGGTGACTAAAATATGATGTACAAAGTAAGCAATTGTGCTGCCAAAACGCAACATTGTCAATAAGCAAATGTGTAGATTGTCAGTGTGTTTTGGTGGGGGTATGCGTACTGGATGGGAGTACCAGGTGTAGACTGTTCTGCTCATACCTCACTACGACTGAAGTGTTGATGCCACTGGCTTGGGGATGGGGCAGCTGTTCTGCCAATAAGCGGGTAATTATTTTCTGGGATCTAATTCCTATGTTTTTAACACCCTTAAAGGAGTACTTCCCCTTTTTTGTTCTCAACTCTTCTGTGGGTGTGACATATAAATCTCTTATGTGTAAGTTTATTGATGCTATAAAATGCAAAATTTAAATTGCATTGGTGAGAAAAGAAAACTGACATTTAATTCCATTTTCAAAAAATCTGTGTTGAACAGTTTCTATTTATAAGTATTGTATGTTTTTGTTCTTATGTCAACTTTTCACATCTTACCAAAGGGGAGGTAAAATGTTCATTCATGGAACTACTGATGTATGTTTGCAATGTATACAAAATATTTTCCCCGCTTCCCTTTTTTTAATTTATTTTATACATAGTATATATTGAGTAAAATGGCTTTTCAAATGTAGACTAACCCTTAAATCATAGGTATTTAACTTACGTAAGAAAATTGATTGCTATATTAATATACAGTACAGTCAAAGCACAACTTTTTTGCAAGTCTTTGACTGAAATGATTTCCTAGTGACTTTGTCAGTCTTTCAGTTCATGCATTATCTGTTAACAGTAATGTTATCTGTAATAATTGTAGTTCTTGTTCCATAAGGCTGTCACCTGTAATTTACAATATTTAAGACAAGTTTTCTGCATACCTCTCAATTGTCTGTTTTTAATTGATGCAAATCCTATTTATTAGACATTCGTTGTGATACACAGTGGATTAATGCAGATTAGCCAGGCTTGATTATATTAGATGTATCAATAAAGCTGACCAAAAATACTTCTAAAATCTATTTTTATTCAACTTTTTTTTAAATGAAGATTAGAAAGCTAACTGTGCAGGCATGATAAAAATTGATTACTTAGGTCTTAATTACAGTGCTTCAGTATAAAAAAGCACAGAGTAAGTGGATCTTGTCTGTCTTCGTTTGAAAGGGGATTATTTTATTTACACGGATGTAAATGAACTATAAAACTGACTATTTCAAGTCTGATAATCATGATAGTTACATATGTGATATTGTATGTTCAAGATATTTAGTCTAGTGTATACAGCTACCTGTCAGTCTATTAAGGCCACACAATGTTGTGGGTAAGAGCTTTGAGCAATATTCTCCATAGCTGTAAAGGAACTGGAGAATAAAGTCCTAGGTATGCAGAAAGTGAATCTTTAGCAGATAGCATTTCAGCCACCTGTAAAGACGTGTAACAGAAGAATCTAATGAGTAAGGTGGACATTTTCAAAAGTGCCTAAGTGAGTTAGAAGCATGGCTCATTGACTTTCAGTGGGACCTGTTCAGCTAAATACCTTACATGCTTTTGAAAATCTTCTAAACCAGTGGCTAATGATAGTACTTGCCTTCACACAAAAGTGTGACTTTGACGACAACTCCCAGATTCTTGAATTTTTTTTATGACCTGACCCAGTCAATTGCCCAAGAAATGAGTTCTGTTTTTCCCATGCCCACATTGCTTTCCTAGATGTCAATGTAATACCCTGCTACTCTTCCACTTGGCCACAGAATTTTTTATATTTAATAGCTGTGTATTTTTTCTGTATATTAATTGCATTGACAGCATTGTGTTCTTGACCTTGCACACTAATTAGACATAGTGCTGTCTCTGGTTTCTAGGCTAGGCACTTGAGAGGTATGATTTTTCCATATAATATGCACTGAAATAGCATTGCCATCCTTCTATAGAGAACTTTTAATGATGAAACAATAAACATTTTAAATATCAGCTTGAGTTTTGGGTATTTAATGAAAATATACTGTTAGATTAATCAAAGAGTATAATCTGATGTGTTTAAAACATGGATTGCTTTCCCCAACTTGTTTTCATAAGGTTGTCCTTGCTGTTGGAAAAATGTGCTTGTTTTCAAAAATTACTTGAGGCAATTCTGTGAGCCACTTCTTCATTAATCCGAGGCTTATCATGGAGGTTTAACATTATATATTCATCAGTATATAATGATGTCCCAACAAACTCCAAAAAAGCCATAAAAGATATTTAAAATGTTTAGACACTTTTCCAAGTCTCTCTCTTTTCCATTTTCTTGACTTTCATTTGTAAGATGTGTAATATCAGATACTACCTCTCTAACTTAATTGTATATGCCCCCAGGCTTACATTGCCAATAGATATCACAATATGGGGACTTCTGAAATTCTTAAATTATATATAACAGTATGCTAAACCATACAGTAATATGTTGTCAGTCAAAACTTTGATATGTTGAGTTTCTGCTACGTTAAAATTACAAAATTAAAAATTAAATTAATGGAGAAATCCCTATCTCCTAGAACTGGAAGGGACCTTGAAAGGTCATCGAGTCCAGCCCCCTGCCTTCACTAGCAGGACTAAGTACTGATTTTGCCCCAGATCCCTAAGTGGCCCTCTCAAGGATTGAACTCACAACCCTGGGTTTAGCAGGCCAATGCTCCAACCGCTGAGCTATTGCCTCAATACACACAAGGTATAAGAACACTGATTTATAAAGAGTGGTGTGAAATACATCCATCAGCAAACTTCTGAAAATTGAGAAGTTGATAACACACTGTGCCTGTTTCTAACAAAGAAATCAATGGAAATTGTGGATCAGCCCTTTCCTTTTTTCTAAGGGGAAAAACTTTTAACTTTATGAGTTCAAACCAGTTTCTGAAAGCAAAAAAATGTGTATTTCTAATGTGTGAAATCTGAGGAAAATTATAATAGATGGCTTCTGATGGTTGAAACTTTAATTTTCTAACCATCACTCATAAGTGAGGAAAACCAGTGAGTCAGAGTCCTGTAACAAGTGAGGGAAGAACTTGTGACAGTAACAACAAAGAGCTGCTTTTCTGGAGTAAATGAGATCTCTTGGGACCAGTAGTGGGAGAAGTGTTAATGTAGTTTGTTTGTTGGAGGCAACTGAGTTGAGACTGTTAGCAAATAAGGATTAGGGATTAGGTCTAAACATAGCAGTGGAGATTAATTAGCACAATGGCAAATGGAATTTGACTAGGATAAGTAACTCTTGACTAAAAACTAAAATGCTCATGAACTCTGAACGGGCACTATCTTCTGAGTGGAAAAGGCCAAAAAGTCATTGTTGATGGGTAGTTTAAAGAATAAGGCTGCTGTCAGGGTTCCCTCCCCACTCGGAACTCTGGGATACAGACGTGGGGACCCGCATGAAAGACCCCTAAGCTTATTTCTACCAGCTTAGGTTAAAAATTTCCCCAAGGCACACATTCTTCCTTGTCCTTGGACGGTATTGCTGCCATCACCAAGTGAGTTCACCCCCTTTCCTGGGGAGGCTTGAGAATACTACACCTACCAAATAGGTAACCAAGGTGAGCACAGACCAAACCCTTGGGTTTTTAGGACACTAAAAACCAATCAGGTTTTTAAAAGCAGAACTTTATTATAAAGAAAAAAGTAAAAGCAGCACCTCTGTAAAATCAGGATGGAAGGTAATTTTACAGGGTAATAGGATTTAAAACACAGAGGATTCCCCTCTAGGCAAAACTTTAAAGTTACAAAAAACAGGAATAAACCTCCCTCTTAGCATAGGGAAAATTCACAAGCTAAAACAAAAGATAATCTAATGCATTTCCTTGCTTTACTTACATTTTTTTGTAATCTTAGATGCTTATTTCAGGTAGGGTTTTAGGAGAGTTTTTTTTTTCTTGCCTGTCCCTCTCTGTCTCAAGAGAGCACACACACAAAAGAGCACAAACAAAGCCTTCCTCCCCCACTCCCCCATTTGAAAGTATCTTCTTTCCCCATTGGTCCTTCTGGTCAGGTGCCAGTGAGGTTAATTGAACTGATAACCCCTTACAGGTACATGATTCTGTACCAAGAGGGATTTTACATTACTGCATACATAAAGGTTGTTACCCTTCCCTTTACATTTATGACAGCTGCCTATTGTATTTAAAAAAAAAATAGAAGATTTTAGGTTGCATTTGCAAAAGGATGGAGAGTACAGACTTGTACTTTATGCAATCACCTTGCCTCAAGAAACCACTGAGATGTTTATACAAAAATAGTGGTACAGTGGGTTTACATACCAGAGATTGGAAAGAAAGTGAAGTGTTAACAATGTCAACATAAAATCAAGCTTCTGAGTCTGTTGCCTATTGCAAGTTACTCCTTCAATTAGTATAGTTTTTCTATACTTTTTCTAGTTATAGTAACAATGTTTAGCATATAGTTCTCTCAAATTTGTCTACTGTGTGCAACAAATGATTGAGCATGTCTAAAACCTCTAAATGTAGTCTCTCCCGTATTGCCTGTTTATTTAAAAAATAAGTCAGTGGCAACATTATATACCAATTTACTATGGAAGTGTTACATGTACTATTATCATTTTAGTGTTTGTGGATAATAATCTTGTTCCCAGGCGTTGCTGAGCTGCAAGTTAAACAAGGAAAGGCTGTTTGTGCCAAAGATATGGTTAAAATCAAGTCCTGTAACAACAGCAAACTGTATATCATGGTCATTGTGTAGTTTGGCTATTCTTGTCAGAGGAGTGACGTTCTGGAACAGCATTCCAAGAGGAGCAGTGGGAGCAAAAACCTAACTTGTTTCAAGACTGAGCTTGTTATGTTTATGACATTGCCTATGATGGCATGTGGCCCATGTGTGACCGTTATTAGCAAATCTGTTCAAAGGCCAGAGATGGGACAAGAGAAGGGAAAAGCTCTGAGTTACCTGGGAAAAAATTATCTGGTATCTGGCTGGTGGGGCTTGCCCACAAGCTCAGGGTCTAACAGACTGCTATATTTGGGGTCAGGAAAGAATTTCTTCCAGGTCAGGTTGGCAGAGACCCTGGGTTTTTCTGCCTTCCTCTGCAGTGTGCGGCACGGGTCACTTGCTTTTTGAACTAGAGTAAATGGTGGATTCGCTAACTTGAAGTTTTAAATCAAGATTTGAGGACTTTAATAACTCAGCCAGAGATTATAAGCCTATTACAGGAATGGGTGGATGAGGTTCTGTGGCCTGTGATATGCAGCAGGTCAGACTAAATAATCATAATAGTCCCTTCAGGCCTTAAAGTCTGAGTCCGTGGGAACCTAAACTGAAGCTGGAATAAGAGCTGCCTCAAGATGATCCTAAATGTGTAAAATCCGGCAGAAGTTTGCTGAGGAAATGTATGGCACAGGTGAAAAATCATCAATAACAGACAAAGAATAGAGAGAAATTGTCATGTGGTTGGTGGAAAGCTGCAGGGGGAAGATTGTCAAAAGTTGTTAGAATTTTTTAGAATGTACCATATATACTCGTTCATTTGCCCGTTTGTTTATAAGCTGACCCTCCAAGATGGTTAGGTAAAAATAGCAAAAACTGTATGACCCTTTTATAAGCCGACCCTATATTTCAGGGGTTGGCAAACTTTGGCTCCTGGCCCGTTAGGGTAAGCTGCTAGCAGGCCTGGATGTTTTGTTTACCTGGAACGTTCACAGGCACAGAGCCCCTCAGCTCCCATTTCCCGCAGCTCCCATTGGCTGGGAACGGCAAACCGTGGACACTGGGAGCTGAGGGGCTCCATGACTGCAGATGCTCCAAGTAAACAAAATGTTCCGACCTGCCAGCGGCTTACCCTAACGGGCCGGGAGCTAAAGTTTTCTGACCCCTGCTATATTTTAAAAGCTGGCATCACAAGAAACACTTAAAATAATTCTAGCAAAACTTTTGATTCTAATGAAAAACCTGTTATAATAACTGAACAAATATTTATTCACCTTCAAAATTATAGTCAATATTTAAAATTAGTAAATGGATATTTAAAACAAGTAACTTAGAACAATATGAGACTTTAAAAAGTCTTAAAATCCTTCAAAGTCTGAATCAGTCTCTGATTCACCAACCAGTTCATTAAACTCGGCTTCAGTCACAGCTGCACCTGCATTGTCATCGTAGATGTCGGCAGTGTCGTCTTCAGACTCAGATTCCTTCTCATCATCAGCCTCTGTTGTGTCATCATCAAATATGGCATCATCTTCTGACTCGTTGAGTGCATTGCTGATACAGCTTTTCCTAAATGATTTTTCTATCATTTCTGAGGGAATGGACACCCACACATTCTTGGCCCACTGGCCGACCAGATTGATTTCGGGCTTCATAAGATTCTCGCCTTTTGTCAACTTCGCTATGCCTGAGCACGTCCATTTAGACCACATTTTGCGTAGCCTGTCTTTAAAAGGTTTGTTCAGGCAGACATCAAGCGGTTGTAGAACTGAAGTTAAGCCTCCAGGTATTACAGCCAAAGTAGTTTTCATATTTTTGGCCACATTTTTCACCTCATCCATCTTGTGTGCCCTGAACATGTCCCAAACAAGCATAGCAGGTTTCTTGAAAAGTGCTCCTGGTCTCTTATTCCACACTTTTTCCAGCCATTCAATAGTCCCACTTTCATCCATCCATCCCTTTTCGTGTGCATGTACAATGACACCAGCAGGAAATTTCATGTTTTTAGGCAAGGTTTTTCTTTTAAAAATAACAGGAGGGAGTTTTGATCCATTTGCCAAACATGATAAAACCACCGTAAAATGTATTTTTTTCATGGCCAGTGGTTTTAATTAAAACTGTTTTTTCACCAACATCAGTTACCGTTCTGTTGCTCGGAAGATCGAATGTCATTGGTGTTTTATCTATATTTCCTATTTGTGACAGTTCAAATGCATATTCCTTTTGATATTTTATAATAAACCTTCGGAAAGATTCGATTTTTTTTCTTCCAGATCTCTCGGCAG